AAGCTAGGCGATTAGGTGCCGTACGCGAGCGCCGGTTCGAGTCACGCACGCAGTACGTATTTACTATAATTAGACATAGTCTTTACCTTGCCGTTTATTCGGTGTTATTTGCTTACTTTACTTCCTATGTCGACAGCAACTATGAGTTTAAAAATTATTTCTCAGTACTTATTCACTGTTAAAATGCTGTACCATTACTTTCACCATCCTACTACAGCCAGATCTGAAGGCCTTTGCCGCATTCTGGCCATGCTGTGTGGCGCGTATCGCGTGGACGGGTTTCACGTTCTCTGCACGTAATAAGCTCGGTTATTAAGCATCCTTTATTGGGGATGCCCGGTGGCCGAGGGGAAGACGTGTAGTGGCGTGAAGCTAGGCGATTAGGTGCCGTACGCGAGCGCCGGTTCGAGTCACGCACGCAGTACGTATTTACTATAATTAGACATAGTCTTTACCTTGCCGTTTATTCGGTGTTATTTGCTTACTTTACTTCCTATGTCGACAGCAACTATGAGTTTAAAAATTATTTCTCAGTACACATACTAGTAACGTATATTCACATGCACTCCAGTCAAAATTGTTCCCCTGCAATTGAAAGAGTTAATTACTGAAGTGCAAAATAGCCAAACGTTTTGTCATGGCATACACGACTTGTAATATAGAAACGATGAAGAATACCAGGTACTGGAAATTTTGTGTGAGAGTTGTACAGTATGACTGTGACATAACCTGTCGCTTTATTTCTCTTCATATAAACAAAAAGATTGGCTTCACAACAATGTGATATTACTTTTGCATCTGTTTAGTCTCTCTTCATTGCTGCATGTGCTATCAATGATGTGTAAATTTGCATACTTGATAATTTAGTTGAGAATGTGATATCTAGTATTAGATTGTTCACCCAGGAAAATATGGTATTCTGTACAATTATACAATATCAGCATGCATTGCAATCCAGGGAAAGACTCTCCAATATACCCCTACCCCTTACCTTAACTGTAACCCTAACCTCTAGCCTCCAGCCCCCTCCCCCAGTTCAGTTGTATATGTTCTTATGGATAACTGTATGTGTCATCTACAATTAATTTGAGGGGCAATAGAGGGTAGCGATTGGGTTAGAGTTAGGATTAGAGGTGGAAAAGTGACAAGTTATGCCATAGCTGTAATGTAACTACCTGGCTATAGTGTACACATGGCTATAGTGTACCCTTATACTATAGTCTGTTTCAGGTAAGTTTAAGATGATGTATATTGATAGAATTAAATAAATTGTAATGGGTATTTTGTAAAGTAAATTAATGTCTTGCACAGGGGGAAACATCAACCAAACTAAATTCTAACTAATATGTTGGCTGATGGTATCCCTTAATTTCCATTAATGCCGGAATGTATATGCATTAATTAAGCAAAAAAAAATTTTCAGTTCAATAAGTTCAGCAGCAAGTTGGAGAATAATTTTTCGCACAAAATTAATGTGTGTACTTCCATGTACAGTGACAGTATTGATATTATAGTCTAGTGATAAACTTTGCAACCAACTGGATTTAAAGAGCGGAATTCATATACCGGTACCAGCTTACCTGGTACTGATAACAGTACAGTAACATAGATTTTCCAAAATTGATCAGAAAATATTTCAGAATAGTGGCTCAACACGACACAGTCCAAGAATCTTAATAATTGATGGGTAAATGCTATTCATGGTATTGTTATAGAATTTTGTTGCCACTGAGCAGATCTTAAAAATGTCTATAACACATGTTTGTCACATAACTAGTCAATACATAAATAATTCAGTGTCTCATTGTTAACTGATGAACGTTCTGAAACAACTGGAAATTGCATTTTTTGATTTAATAATTTAGAGTACAAAGTCAATGATGTATATTACATTGTTATGAGGATAAATGTTCTGTTTTGGAATTTGCTTGTTCCTGCAGGGGTAGGCATTTGCATTACCACAAAATACATTGCATGCTGTAATTTGTTATGGGGGGGATACAATGGCAGGTTTTTTAATATGAGGTTATTCAAAGTATACACAAATAAAATACAGTCGGAGTATTCTCACAACACAGGGTGAAGCAATCGCGTAGTGTCTGAGTGTATACTTTGCACTTGCAATAACATTATTATACATGAACAATGATGAAAACTATTAAAAATTACTTGCTATGTACTTCTCAAAAACATCCACCGTCTTAGAAATGCTGTGTAATCAATCCATATTTGGAATTCACATTTTCTAATATGGTAGAATACAGATACTCCATGGAATACAAAAGAAAATCCAGGCACCGTAGCATATGGCATTCACAGAATAAATTGTTATACATGCGCTAAAAATAGTGGTCACTTACAATAACAGTCTGAAACTGACTAACCAGTTCTTTCACGGAATCACTCGTTTACCTTGTCATTTTTAAAAAAATTTATGATTTTGATTTTATGATCATCTCTCCATTAGCATGACTTCAAAGGAATCTTCATAATCTTAACACCAATTGCATACTATCTTATAAGTCTTTGGAAATAGCAAGCATTGACCAGTTCAATAAAATATCATGTGTACGAAGCTAGGATATTTGAAGGTTGCATACATCTCATACATATTATTAGGCATTCTGTGAATTTCCCAGATATATTCAACAATATAGCCAGAATTTTATACATTTTTTTTTTATAGTGAAGTCTGATTTTATTGTCTAATACATGTAACATTTAATTTACTGATGTTTATCCACTTTTTGTAATAACCATCCATCTGTTGCTTCTAATTTTGGGGCTTGAACTTAATGGGGCATCAAGCTTTGGTGCCCTTTCAAACATGCACCTCTTACGTATAGTATATCCTGTATGCTAATGCTGCCCTGAAATTTGATGCCTTCTTAACTCAAGTTCAAGTTCAAGCCCTGCACCTAACATTTCTATATATACTGTAAACATTTTTGCTACTATGAATGTACAAGATTTTATATTTTGCAAAAGCACTGTGACAATATTTGTTAAGAACCCCAGTCCATAATTCACTGCCAGAACAAGTAAAATTCCCAGACTTAGAAGGAATACGTGTCTCTCTTAACATGGTTCACGCTATATATCATATCTGAAATCCAGTGACATCATGTGACAACCATCAATTTGACGCATGCTGCTGGTGATTACTTTTTCTTTATTTCTTCTCTATGTGTGTTAATTATTTTTCTTTGGTTAATTTATTATTCTTATGTTGTTCCAGACACTAATCATCTTGTTGTACACGACCAACCCAATCATTATAATGGTGCTTCTAATAAAGATTACTCGGGTCATGCTAATCCACAATACATGCATGGTAGGTACAGACATTACAAACATGTGAACAAACTCTCTGATCATGTGTGTAACATGTGAACACAGTTTTTCATCATGTGAACAAACTCTCTAATCATGTGAGTAACATGTGGACACAGTTTTTCATCATGTGAACAAACTCTGATCATGTGAGCAACATGTGGACACAGTTTTTCATCATGTGACTGCCATGTGAACAAAATCTTTGATCATGTGGACACTATACATTATCTCATCATGTGACTACAACTGTCCACTAACTTTAACTTGTATTATCTTATGTGACTAAACAGCTTTAACTGCCATACTTATCAAATCTATGGTTTTCAAAAGTTATTTTTAGTTCTGTAGTTGTCCGAATGTTGGTAGATCTTTGAAACATGTGCAATCATAATTTAAAAGAAGCTCTGTGGCCAGAGTGATATGTTCACAGCTGCAGTGTATACAATTTTCAGGCTTTTGTCTCGTACTAAGTTGAGACAATTTACAGTTCATCCTCATATAAATCCTGATTCGTTTTTTGCCATCATGCTGAAAACTGCCCTCCAATCGGCAGTATACATTTAGTCTGTGTATTCATACTCATTTATAGAAAGTTGAATGCACAAGCCAGGGTTGACCAGTGGATATGCCCAAAGCAATTACCAGTATAAAAAGATTTATGAAAATTTGTAATTTTTTTTTTCAGATGATCCAATCATGGCCTACAATCACCCGATGTCTGCACGTGCAGTGCCCCCACCTCCTTACAATGGTGAGAGTCAGTTAGTGTCACCTAATAATTACTTCTAAGTTATATCCTCTACAAAAACAGATTATTTTATATCATACTCTTCTGCTTATATATGTGCTATCATGCATTCTATTTTTAAGAACATCAAGTTTTTAAGTTTCTGTTTTCCATTGTACTTAATTTACACCTTTCTTAATGTTATTACTGTTTCTTTTTTATGCTGATTCTGCTTTTCTACTTTAATTTAAAAAAAGTTATATATTTTTTTGAACGAAAAAATGTAAAAAAAAAAGCAATTTTCTACAGAAGCCATTTACATGAATTTGTGGAAGTCTTGGGAAAACAAATTTGTGATGACAATTCTTTTATGTGTGGAGAACAAAAATGAACAACAAATCTGATAATTATTCAAACCAGTTCATGTAAGACCAATAAATCTTGGTAAATTTTCATCGTAGCAAGTGTTGATATACATTAAGACACATGTCAATAAAATGTGCAATTTTTCTTCAGTTTATAAAAAAATCAAAAATGAAATTTGAAATATTTGAAATCAATTTGTGATTATATATTATGTTCAATTTGCCTTGAATTTGCTTCCATAATTATAGATTCAGAGAAATCTTCCTTTTATTTGCTGCCACATAGCTTTGCTATAATTGTAAATCCTTGACTGCATTTCAAATAATATATACTTTTAAGATGTACTTTTACATATGTGATTGAAAACTGCCTTTATTTTATGAATCGGCAGGTGATAAACTATTTTTTCAAAAATACACAGAATTCCAATTTGTGTTCATTTATCCGTTAATAATGTGTAAAATTTAGATTGCATTTTAATTCATTATGTTTAATAGTTAGTAATCGGATGTCTGAGATATGAATAATTTATTTTAGTAGCAGTAAGGGAGGTAATACCTCAGCTTTGGATGGTGCTGTCATTTTGCATTACTCGTGTCTCAGTTATATTGCTTACTGATTCCTTAGTTATGAACTTCAAATAAAAGTTTACAGGCAATAAACTAAATATCCTGAGCTAAGTTATGTACAGTTCTTGTGTTAAAAAACTGGGTACTGTTTAAAAGCAATATTAGCAAATTATCTTAAGTTTTCATCAATGGTTATTACAAAAATGTAGCTAATATCAGAATTCTGAGACTGGTACATAGCTAATATAATGTAGTTGCTTGGGTAAATTCTTTGATTATGACACAGTTTCCGAACTGTGATTATGACCTGTGTATCTTGGGACTAAAAGCTAAAATCTCCATTTGAGGTGAGCAGTTCCCAGCTCATTTTAATACCTCAGTTGTTTATTTGAATACACGTACATTCTCATGTACTGCTGTTTCTAAATATGTTTTTAATTAATACATTTACTTTAGGCTGAAATTATCTATCTTTGTTGCCTTTAATATGTATAAAATTTATTGTTTCTTTCCACACACTGTATTTGTTTTATTAGTAACGCATACAAATTTATGTTTAAATGACAGAGGTGTCAAAATACAGCATACTGTAAATGTAATTTTTGTTTTACTTTCCTTCTATCAGAGATGCGCTTCTAATAGAGCAAATACAGTATTAAGTCATAATATTATCTTAACCCTTAATGCAATTATTTTCCATTGCTTAAGCATCCTGCATCCATTTCAAAACTGGGTTATTCACCACTGTTATCACAACCATAGCAACCAATGCTATCAGGCAAGCTCTTGTATTTCATCACCATGGCAATCAATTATATTTTGTAAATTTAAAATTCATTTGGGAGCCTATTGTTGTTGTACTGTCACTACTGAATGTTTGGTTCTCAAGATAATTTAATCAGGAATTGTGACACAAGTGACTTTTTAAAAAAAAAAATGTACATTGTGATTGATAAAAAAAAACATGATTGATAAAAAAACAAAAACATTGTGAGTAAAGGGCTACTCATGTGTTGTAAAATTATTTATTTATGCAGATTTTTTGAATAATAATTAAATCCATTACAATGTACTAGTAATTAGTTTGTTGTAGCACCAGGGTTGTCTGGACTTAATTACAATTGGCAGATTTTTGTTGTTGAATGTGCTGTACTAGTTTGGTTTATCAAACCTTGTACCCATGCAATTTCAAGAGTTGGAAAGTCAGTCATTGTAAAAGTATAAGAGAGATTAATGTACAGTGGTAAGCCATAAGTTTTACTTCATCTAGAGTTTCTTTGAGTCCTTGATCTTTTCGTTCACATCATTTAAACTGTATTCTGAATAATATCATGACAGCAGCTCATCAAAATTAAGACATGTTTTCTTTTTTCTGGATTCTAGGGTGAATCCATTTTATATTCAGGAAATTGGCATTCAATATGTTAATATCTGCATGTTAGGCAGAACCATCTACAATTTGACTAGCTTAAAACACAGCATTCTAAATAAGAAAATGAATTCCCTGGTATCATTTAATTTGAAGGTAATTTACATTTGTAAAGTGATAACTATGGTGCAGCACAACAACAGAAATCATATCTAAATTTAAAGAAGAAAAAAATTACAAGATGTTGATAATCATTTCTATTAAATCAATTTTATTTGTAATAACTAGATATGATGTTTTGTTTTTTGAGATTAATAAACAAATAAATTTTGAAAAACGCTTTTGCTTTCGTTGATCTTATTTCTGTTAAAACTGCACGTTTTCTTTTCTTAGTTTGTTTTGTATCTTAGGTTCAGTTTATATGCTTGCATATTTATGTTTTTATTTGCATTTTCATTTTCATAATTTTGTTTGTTTGTTGTCATTTAGATGGTCATCAAGGTAGAGGTATTCCAGCAGCATATCAACACCGGGTATTGCCATATACATCTAACGGTATTTAGTTCCAGTCATGGTGTTCAAACTTTTTATCTTTCATTCTCTTTAGCCAGTCTCACTTTTCCTGGTGGTGGATTGCTGATACTCAAGAACACTCAGTTATCAAAGTAGATTATTTTGATGGTGAATTGTGATAATTGAAAATGGCATTTTGACAAATTAATAAATGTTAAGTTTTGTCTTCTGTCTTGTACAGATTAGCCTAGAGTATGTGCAAGGCAGATCTAAAAATGCTTCTGAATTAATGGTCGCTTATCTTATTAGTGATGCAAATTTATTCAAAATTCACTGAGCATGCTTCAACTGTCAAAGCTGAACCAAAGAAAGTTTATTAGCATTCTGGGAATTACAAAACTGACACGCAAAACAGTGTATTGACTTGCAGCAATATATTTTTAATTTGAATCCTAGGCTCTAGAGCACAGCACATACAATACCATCATTCGTGCCTTCATAAAAATATTACTTAAAAACAGTGTTCTACAGTATTTTGGTGATATGAGACTGATATCAAATTCATATTAAAATTTCACATTTATATTAAGTATTTTTTAGCAATTCTACTCTACTTCTACAAGTTCTACTCTTAAGATGATACTTTTCTTAAGACCAGGTGTTTATGGATAATTATACAACATTTATTGTGCAACTCTGGGAATTAACCCAATTATTGTAATAATTTGGAACAAAGGCACATTGTTAGGAGTCTGTGTGCATTGGAACATTATTCATAAGTTTTTGAAAATGACTTTTAAACAACATTAACAAACCAAATGGGTAGCCAAAACAAAATTCAGTTGTTCGGAAGATGCTTCTCAGACTTGATCTCAATTTGAATACTGTAGAATACTTTATATTCGCTTGGAATTTATTTTCGCTGAAGGGATGATTCCATGAAAGTAAAATCCAGCGAATATACTTTTTTTCCTATATTTCACATTAAACTCATCAAAAATCAGTGAAAATAAATTCCATACAAAATGCCCAAAAAGCCTTTTCAGCGAAAATTAATTCCAGCGAAAATAAAGTATTCCACAGTATATCATTCAATGCATTGTACCGATAGTATATATTCCACATATTCATGCCATTGAATATGTGTATAATAACAGGAAAATATCAGTGCTTGGGAATGTCATCTGAGAATGGAACTTGAAAGTACGGTATATGCAAGACAACAAACTGAAACTTAATACATTGTGATTCAGGGACGTATATCAAATTATGAACCCAAATTCAGATATTTATATCAGTCTCAAATATCAAAGAAAATATAGCACAAAACTAAACTAGCTTTTTCTTGCAGGAACTGTAAATACTAATACCTTATTTCATTTCTATATCTTTTGTTTTAACAAATTAATCTCTATGCTGTTTTGAGATTTGTATGATCGTAGAACTATAAAACAATTGTGTAATTTTCATTGTTCAACATTTTTGTGATTTAATTGTTTAAGGGCAATCCACTAAATGAAAGTGGTATCAAATTTCTTGGAAGTCACTGCGATTCTTGCGAAATGACAGTCAAATTTTCACTGTCACCCCCCCTCCCCCCATTCACAAAAATTGTTCTAATTATGAAATAACAGCCATTTACAGTATGTCTATTATTGATGCAACGATAAGCTCAATTCTTGAATGATTTGTGAAAACATTGCTATAGAATATCCTGTCTGAAGAAATTGTTTGTGTGTGAAACTTTTTTTACTGACACCAAGCTTTAAAAATCAAGGCACTGTCTGATTAATAACATAAATCTGCCAGTTCATAAAGTTATATATTTATATATTTGGATAGCTCCTTGTGAGCAGGATATTATTTGTGCGACATATGTACAATTTCACTTGGCCTAATAATTTTCTGGTATTTTTGTTCCATGTCGTCATACCAGGTTATAAAAGTTGCATTCCTTTACTTGTATATCTTTGAATCATACTACTGTGCAGCACACTAAATTCAAAATATTATCAGGGAAACTAAATTAAGCATTATCTGGAAATGAACTGCTTCGCCTGGTGTTGGTTTTAGCTATGTATTATAGAATATTCCCAGACCATGTATCCAGCAGGCTAACAATGGGAGATGGAATGAATTGTGTTTTGAAGCCATAAATAGTAATTCTTCTGAGCTGCTCTACAATACCATGAATCATGTATTTTTCAAGCTAATTTAGATGATTACTTTGCTAATCAAAGTTTTATAACCAGGCTAATCAATTATTAACCTAATGCGATTCATGCATTGAGACAAATTTGGTAAAATGTAATTGTGATTTCAAACTTTTTGACATTATATCCACTGTTATAAAATCTCATTATCTTTCAATGACCATTTTGTGTTTGCTTTTTGCATGGCATATTTGTTCTCATTTCATTGCATTCCATAGCAGATTACAGTGATCGTTCAAGACCATACATTAATCATCAACCATCAGCATTTCAACGGTATAGCCAACAAACTGATGAGCAGAATGACTTGAATGCCCCAGATCATCATCACCATCTCTCTGGTTATTATGATTCACTAGAAGACAGTGAGTCTTATAACTACCTCAAACCAGCTAAAGCAACACGTAACCCATTGTACTACGAGCATCCTGGTAATATGCTTTTTTTTTATACTAGTACATTGTAAAATTATTTTCCTAATGTAGAAAATATTTACCATGTCTTACAGCCAAATGTGCCCGCACAGTCCTTTATTCATTTTCATTTATTTTTATTTAAGTGTTCATTTTGTTAAATTATCTTCATTATAAATGAGTGCAGTATGATATTGGCATGCTTTGTGTGTTTACGTTAAGTGACCTTTGTCCTGTATGATCCTGGATTATTTTCTTAGACTTGTGGATGTTGCACCAAGACTAGGATGTAGTACATATACCGTTTTGAACCAGTATTGACCTGGTGTTGACAATGACCATTATGTACCGTACCAGTACTAGACTGACTTGAAATGTTTTCCTAATGGATGCATTGTTCTATCCATTGTACTGGTATGAGATACTATTTCACTTCTCAAATACATTAAACCAGACTGTCCACATGTGCTTTATTGGTAGTGTATGAATTTTATGTAAATGAAGGCGTTTCCATGTCAACTAAGTCATAATTTAATGATACAATATGCAATAAATATAATTTTTAGTTTATCAAATACAATCAAATACAAGTGACTCCAAACACAAATGGCACTTAGTGCCAAGTGGATCCAAATGTCTTGAAGAAGCCGGAGTGAAATATCATAAAAACAAGACAAACACTGGAAACCAGGTTAAAAAGACGATAAAATACTGCTACTATTTTATCATCTTTTTAACCTGGTTTCTAGTATTTGTCTTGTTTTTATGGTATTTCAATTTTTAGTTTGTGTGCTTCTGGGTGGGGGTGGGGGTGGGGGCGATGAATAATTAAAACATACATATAGCAAACGCAATCTTTTTGTTTTATCCCCCCCCCCAAATAAAAGTTTGCAAGTGTTAACAAATGAAACAAACATTGAATACAACTCTGTGCAGTTTTTGTAACTGAAATCACCTTCAACCCCGTCCTTCTAAACAAAGAGATTTAATTTGCTATACGCATGATTTATCAACAGCCCCTTAGAATTGAACTACAGTATTCTCAGGAGCGCACATCCAAGCATTTATCAACAACCCCTTAGAATTGAACTACAGTATTCTCAGGAGCGCACATCCAAGCATTTATCTCCACCAGGCAATCACAACCGGTGAAAACAATGGTCGAAAACTCTCAGAAAACTGTACTTTAGGCTAGATGTTGAGACTCCCCTGAACAGTGTAACAAGATTACCCCTACATGTGCAATATATATAAATTTGATTGCTCAGGTTTGCTTCAGAATTGAGTTTGTGCAGTTTTCTGGTCATAAGCTTTTTTCACTGGCTCTTCGACCGGCGTTCCACAGCAGGTCATAGAAATACAGTGGTGTGTGTCTTAGCAACATAGAACATTCTGTGACGTATCTCCGTCCCCAGAATATGTCTCCATCCCTGAATATCCTACTAAAACAGAATGTTGACCAGCACAGTACTTAATATCCTGTCAAAGTTTGTGCTAGTCTGGTGAACTTGCAAACTAGTTTTCATCCTGGCAAGTTTGTTAAAATGTGCCCTACATGTATATGCCAACCATATCAGATTTACTTCTTGACTGTACTGTACTGTACCTCCAATGCAAAATACTTAATAGACATACTGTACTGGATTGAGCTCTTTACTGAAGTACATGCTTTATTTAAATGACTTGCGAATGACTACTGCTGAATATGGCAGACACAGTGTGCAATAGAGATTACTCCCTTAAAAATGATTGTTTTTTATTATTAGCGAGTGGAATGGATATACCAGCATCTGCTGGACAGATAGACATTGACAATTGGACTTATGGAAACCAACAAATGAATGGTGGCAGACCTATGTCAACTGGAGCAGGATTTCCTCGTAATATAAATCATCTATATTAAAGGCCCACCTTGTCATACCTGGGCTAGCCTTGGAAGTGGAACTACTTTGTCATTGAATTTAGAAACAATTGTGAATGTATTACTTAATAAGCATTTTGATAAATAAGATTGAGAATTGCCTTATTTTGCAATTTGGGAGGACACGTACCCGGTACAGTAGTGATATCATAATTGTGGTTAAGTTCCTAGTAACTTGTATGACTGGAATATATTTGATTAAATTTTTAATACATTTATGCATAGACCCTCCAGTAGATAACTGGAGGGTCTATGATTTATGGGAACATTGGCCTCTATAAACAATAGTAGTGATAAACTCACCACAAGAGGGCGTATGTGTGTCAAAGTGCATATTAAATATATCCAATATAATCTTTTGCTCTTGTTGAAAATAAAAAGTACAGGACCCAAAAATCTAATGGATAAAAAGAGATAACTATTGATGCATTTTTTTTTCTGTGTGGATATAATATTTTTAAAAATGTCAATTTTTGTTGAAAAATCAATTTTTATTATTAAAAATCAGTATTGATGTTTTAAACTTGTACTCAATAATGTAATACACTTTTAGGAGTGGTGCTTGGTTAAAGTCTTCTAAATATTACTGTACCTGTATCTCAACACCATATATTAGCAATATTTTTATTATCAGGATTACAAGCTTAACCCCTTTGATAGCCATTGTCAAGTTTTGGCACCAACAACGAAATGATTGTGTACAAACTGCTCCTTATATGAAATGTTGATGAGAATTGACAACCTTTTGGTCAAAAACTGAATGCAGTATCTGAAACTGTCTGTATGGACCAAAATGATGATGAGATTTAGTGACAATTTTATAAAATGTGAAATATTTGCATTGAATTTTGGACAGGAAAAATATCTGGCAGTCAAAGGGATAAACTCTTTGGATGCTGGAATTTTTCACACCTACACTGTGTATTTTTCTACAATCGGGAAAACATAAAGCAAGTTCATTTGGCATTCAAGGGGTTTTGAAGTGCTATACTTTTTAGTTTAATAGATATTTTTAATTTTGCATTGTACTTACCTAATATAATCATTTTTTGTGTGTTATTTTCAATTGAAAGTTTTTAATAATTAGTACTGTAAAGTCTGTATTAGAAACTGCAGCTTCTATTAAAATGGCACCAGGCAACAGAGAAGATGCGGCTTATAATAGAGCTACACATGGTGATTTTTTGGTTCTCAATTGTTCAAAAAGAATGGGATGCGGCTTGTAATACAGATTTGACGGTACATTGTTTTATCGCTGCCATATCTAATTAATTTAATTAGGGCATTTATCTTGTCAAATGAAGCTTCATTGTTGCAATTATAATCTTACATATCATACATAATGTTTGGTTTAATATAGTGTTCACACTTGCAAAGAAAACCAGAACAGGAAAGGTATCAGTATTATTCAGTCTCTGGAATTACCATATGATAATTTTAAAAAAATAGTCAGATTTGTAGCGAAGCTGGTCTCAACAAATCTTACAACCTTATCGCAGAAACATACTATTCCAGTACAAAAGTGAACAAGGTTTTTATAACAGAGAAACAGGCAATATACAAGGTTGTGTTCCCTTTTGCATTATGGGATGTCTGTGCAATGTTGACACCAAAGATGTTGATTATGTATTCTAATTGAGTTATTGTATACAAGTCTTCATTGTCATTTATTTCATAGTATTCTATATTAACATGCGTGAGTCGTTATTTTACAAGGTCAAATTTACACCAGTTTCTTGCCGTCTCTGAAGTACCCGATGCTGCAAAATTTCCCCGGTTTATGCAGATTTGGCTTTTAGAACAATTGTAATCTTGCCAACCACGGGCAGTTTGCTCAGCATCCACACTTCAACCCTTATACATGATCATCAACAGTATTCGGTGCCACAGATAACAGAAGATATTTGTGAATTCCATATATGTAGGCATGTTCTACACATTTCAATGGATATATTCAGGTACACCAGTATTATCTAACTTTTCACAGGCTTATATACCAGTAAGCTTATTAAAAACGTATTAATTTCTCAGTAACATTGTACTGCCGTACTTTTAGGTTAATACTCGAAAAACATTTGTGACTGCCAAATTACTACCATGACCTCAACAATTTCATCTCAAAAAGGTGTGGTCATAGCACTCTGCAGTGGTTTGGTTTGATTTGTTGGCATATCCTAACAGACGTACAAATTATTGGAACAGAATAAAGTAAAGGCCTACATAAATAATCAGTTTTGTTGTATAATTTTAAATGATGTTGGCAAATTATTTTTTTACTTTGTGAAACAATAAAATTAAAGAATATCTTGTCTAATGAAAGCTCATTTGTCTGTTGTATGATTTTTACATGCATTGATTATTCCTTTGTATGGAGATGACATAGCTTGATTGAAAGGCAACTACCACGAGGTTGTACTCCCATTGATGCATTTGTAAAAGGCAAAATTTAATACAAATAAAACTCATACATCTGTCACTGCATGCCATAAGTTACAGCATAATTTTGTGGGGTATTTTCATCCTACCATATAAGAAAATGTGAATTCCAAATATGGAATGATTACGCACGTAATCATTCTCTATTAATAAAAACAAACGTGGCATTCGCGAGGGTTTTCTGCATTCCTATGATGTATCCTTGGAAGGAAAAAATGTATACCTAATAAGGTTATTTCCGGGATACCTCAAAGTATGCACTAAAACAGTATGCGGTCGCATCGACCTCCGCTGCGTGTGTCTGTCAATACTCTCGCTGTACTGTCTCCGTGCATACTCATAATAACCTTGTATGATTGCTTTGGTACCATGGATTTACCTGCATGATTACTTTCACTCCATGAAATCTACGTCACGAGTGTGTGTGTGTATATTATACATGTATACATGAGATATATTTTATTACAAATCTACCTATACCAAATTGCTATACAATTGAAAATCTATAGACTAAGAGTACATACTATCAAGGTGTTTGGATAAATGTTTGAAGACTTTGGTTTTAAATGTTTTACATTCTCAATCGTGTATATATATATATATATAATAAGGTAAACTGTTGAAGCCTAGCCCAGATGAGAAGTTCAAGTGATTCTTGAATCAGAATTATGTACCAGTATATTCACTTGACAGTTTTTCAATAAAGAATATATACAATACTCAAAGAACTGAAATATGTACATCATATAGAAGTATATACTTAATGAATTTACAAGTTCAGTATTCAATAGTTTTTTTCATATCAAGGTAATTGCTGCATCAATAAGACGTCCCCTGTGACAAGTGGAAATTATACCGGTAATTAAGATTTCAAGTAGAAAAATCAATTTTCATGAACTAAAAATATAAAATAGCCTCTGTTGTGAGAAACATCAAAAGTATAAGAACTAAATGTTAAAACATTGGAAACTCAAGCAAAAGACCATATCACACATTAAGAAAAATAGTTTTTTTCAGTGAAAATGTGCTGTATCAAAGTAAAATAATAATAAATTAAACAAATTTCAGACACATAAATAACAAAATTTATAAACTGACAGAAACTTACATGATAGACATAACAACCTGAGATAAGAATCAACAGTAACAGTACTTTAATCCAGGAAACTTGGGGAATACTGTGTAAAATTGCATTTCCACTGATATGTTGAGATTGTGAATAGGAATATAAGTAGACACCTTAAATTAGGCTAGATTTGTAAAACAGACACTGAGTTAGGAGACTATTTGTCATTGAAAGTCAATTACATTGTAGATACCGGTATGTCTGTCTTAGGGATGAGACCCTTCAGTACTCTCCAAAGTGAGGGGAGTGAAATCTACTTTTAATACATTTTTAAACATTGTGTTTTCCCATTTTGTTATAAAAGTGTTCCATATATTTGCAATAGGGGAATGCAATTTTAATTGAAGATTGTATGACGCATTATGCAAATGAAGACATTATTATTCTATAAATATTGTGACAATTATTACTGACTATCTAGGAATGAATATCTCTGTCAATGTTGGTGCGGTTATATTTTTGTTAACAATCCTCAGCCCTAAGTCGTCAGTTTCTGTATAACTTGATTCAATCATTCGATGTCTGTCAAATTTTCTCTTCCATTGTATGGCTAAAGCCGTTGCTTGCATTTCGTCACATGTCTCTTCTTCAGGTGGCTCTTGTAAACCCTTATGAAAACAGACGCAACGAAAACATGAACTTTCAGTGATTGTTAATCAATATCACAAATTACTTTTATGAAATTCAGGCAATTAAAATATTTCGCATTCAAATTGGCACAAGTTTACTGCCCCCCCCTCCCTAACAGTGTTCCATTTACTACCATCATTGAGTTCACTGTTACGCAGACCTATGTAACCATGGGAATGGAACACCAGTTTGGAGAAAAACCAAGCCATGTGACTCACTTGTTCTCAACAGCCATTTCAGTGTAAAGTCTACACAAATGGCAAATCTTAAAATAATAATAAAATGTGCCATCAAATAAATCCCAAAACCACAAAAGCCATTGTTTCATACAGTAACTTTAATAACTACAATAAAAAGTAAAAATAAAGCAACTTTGCCTTTGACAACCTTGTTTTGTTCGAATACAACTAATTAAAACTTGAAATATAATTTACCTTGACACAAGCAGTTTCCGCTGCTTTTAATGTTTTCATCACTGCCTGCATGAGATTTTCAGAATTTTTAACCAGGACAACATCAGTACTCTTGTCTTCAGGTGTGGCTGCTTTAACACTAGCAATAATGCTTAGTTGTTTACCAAAGGACGGAATCTGTTCACAACAGTGTAATAAATCTTCACAGAATCTACAAAGAAATAGAATATACCCAACAAAATCATTTTATATTCATTTGTTTGATAGACAGGGACGAATGCAGGATTTGGGGGGGGGGGGGGTCTGGAATTCGAATTGAATTGTGGCATATGCATGTATGAGTAACAGTTTTAAAGATGCAGTATTTTGTTTTAGTGTTACTATTTGGTACTGTGTGTCAATGAACAAATTAGATTATGACTGTAAACTAACACAAAAACATTAGTTAAATGGAAAATGAGAAAAATACTCAATATGCATATGCAGTGATCGTTTTTTGTACATACCAAAATAACCAGTGCATATTTATATTTATAAAAAATTACTTCATTTTATCAAACAAATACCCAGATGTGTGGTAAAGAACGGTGTTTTCATTTCTGAAATAAATCATATTATTATACATCTGTCACCAAAAGTTACAGTGTGCCGTAATTTTGCGGTATTTTACAGGGTATTTTCATCCTACCATATAAGAAAATGCGAATTCCAAATATGGAATGATTACGTGTGTAAGCGGTTCTCTAATAATAAAAACAAAAATGGCTGCCATCAGGGTTTGACCGGACTCTAGTTCGCTAATTCTGTTCTAAACTTATGCACGAAGTATGCACAAAGACAGTATTGAGTATCGACCAACGCGCAGCAGTATCAAACAACAATACTATAAATTACATGTTTTTGTCCATGTTGCATCTTTAAATAGTGGTGATGTTGACCAGCAGTGGATGAAGTCCACCAGAAAGCAGACAATTTCAATGAACTGTTTTATTCAAGTGAAAAGTATGGTAAATATTTAATTGATTCAGCAAATAAATTTATAGAAGTAGTCGAAAAATAAATTATTATAGTTGAAGAAGCCTTATATGTATATGATTAGTTAAAAGATTTGTTGCTATAGTTACCTTTTATCCACACAGTATTTTGCAATAATTCTGGCAAATCTGACAATAACCAGTCCATTAGCTGCAATGGCCTTAGCTGTGTTGATAACTTCCTCTTTGCTCTGTAAAGTCCATTATTCAAAATTAGTTTTATTGTGAAATATATAATAAAAATATAGATATCCATACTGTAGAAGGGGAAGGAACTGTTCTAAGATTTAATGACGACTATTAATTATCAAATTTCAAACTTTTCATTAGACTACATTAGACCATATATCACTAATAAAATAACACAGTGAAACAAGTTTGACCTTGCCAACAGAGTTCTTTAACCTAACATGCACACATCATATTCAACCTACAATGACAACAGCAACACTATAACCTATAACTATATCTGCATTAATATTAAAGGAAATAAATAGTATTTTAGATATTTTACATTGGTTTAGTTTTTTCATCACAAATTCACATAAAATAGTCCAGTTTATAGTCTGCATTTTCCTTCAGAAGATTGGGACAAAAACAAACAAACTGAAAATTACAATTCATTTCCAAAAATACTATTTAAAAAATAATTTGGGCAAGAAAGTTTGGTGGTGAAAAGGCTAGACACTAGACTTACTGTTAATGATCCCTTGCCTCTACTAAAGTCAGCCATATCATACATCTGGCCAGACATCGTTTTGGCGACTTTCACTATAGCGTTGTTTTCATCTTCCCATCGATCTGCTTCCTGTTGTAAAACCAGTGCAGCCGCTGCCAGGGACGATGAATACCGATTACCAAGAAACGATTCCCATTGTCGACCAGGTTCTGGTTCAAGGAAACTATGACTGCTGGAGAAGTCTGGTTTTGGTGTTGTTGTTGTCGATGTTGTACCAGCAAAACCACTGTAGATGAATCAACAAAATTATACCATGTTAGAATTATCCTCAAACTTAATAAAGATTAATATTTTAAACTGTACGGTGATCCAACATTTTCTTAGTTGGAGCATGCCAATCCAAAGTGACAAATATGCGTAATTTCTGCCAGACTAATATTTCAGGAAATTAAGATATAAATGGAGTCATAAAATAGAAATTCTAAAAAGTAAAACATAGCAAGTCTCATCAAGTTCCCACTGAAGTATTTGAACCTAAATAATGTTGATATGAACACTTTAACCTAAATCAAACATTCCCTTGCCTGAAACTTTATCCTTACTGTAATTCCATTCCATAACTTACCAGTGGTGACAGATGAGGACATATAGAACTAAATCCCCAAACATTTACTATTATGCAATTGATTTCATTTATACTTTTTTTGTGAGAAAGTTTAAGAATTATAGTATAAAGAGAGTCAAATCAACTGCCATTATGTCCTAACATGATGTAAATTTAGTGCGTCTACTATCGTGAGATCTTAATCTTTGAATATTAGACGAATGACTCAGTCTTGAGGGCTGTGAGCGTGCCTAACATACGGGTCAGTATTTGCATGCGAGTTCCCATGGTAATCTAATGAAGTCATGGAGACAGCCAATTCTGCAGTCATTTTTGAGTGCACTAGGAAGGGCATTCTGAATGGCTGGATTCTAGGCTAAGCATGATGTGAGGCAAACAAGTGTTATTCAAAATTGATCATAAACATTTAAAACTTTAAGTTTGTAATCATTTTATCATTGATTGAATCTACAAACATACTACTAGTTACGACCTAATATGTCAGGTCAATAAAACTTGAAGTGACCTTTGACCTATGTATCACATATTTCGCTACATGTAAATGACAACTGAGTCTCACCTTGTTTTCCTATATCTGTTCATGTTAAAGCAGAAAAAGGACGAATGATGTTTACAAATCAAACAACATTGATGTCTCTTAAGTAACCCGTCACCAGGCATTCCCATCAGCAGTATCACCAAATTCATTCATTCAATTCAAATATTTTCAATTATTTTAATTGCAACAGATTTCAAATTACTCCTATGTTTAGAGAAACATTTAAACTCTGGTAAATACTTTTACTATCTTATCACCTAACTGTATGTAATACATTCCATATACTAATTGTCAACATTTCATAACACAAGCAACATGACAGACTAATCTAATCATTAGCAAATTGTCTTAACTTTTTCTGCACTTCTAAAAACTTTCAGGCAAAAGTTTCAAATTTATTTTATGTTTGTTAATAATCTCTTGATTGGGTTTGGATCACAATTATATAATTTTACATTACATATAGGCTTTAGAAAGTAAATAAATAATTAATGCTATGCAAGCACTAATTTAAGGTTGCATTTCCACTTTGAAAGTTTTTAAAGTACTATATCCCCTAACCATATATATATATATATATACAGTGACCCCTCGCTAAGTCTTGCCTCGGTAAGTCGCTATTTGGCCAAGTCGCAAGTACTTGGATGGCTCTCAAAATGTCTATTGTGTTTTGACGACAGTTTTGAAGTACAAAGACTAATGTTTTGTTGCATAGTGTATTTAACCAACCGTTAATGAGATAACTTAACACCTACTGTCCGTCAATTACTGAGATGCAATGGGTGACGGCTACCTTATTCAAGGTGTCAACAGGGGTGTCGAGTAGCGGCCATTCATCCTTCTTGGCCGGTCCCCCTTTGATATACCTCTAAAAAAACAATGAAATCTATCCAGTCTGTCTGTACGCCATAAACGATCGATCGTATCGAGAAAAGGTGAAACCAAGTTGCACGTGACCTAGCAGTCGGTGAGTCCACTATTCGTGGGTGGGTAAAATATGAAGAAAAGCTGAAGAAATTTTGACCAAGAGGCGGAACTGAACAGAAAACATGTGAAATTATCCGACAACGATGACATTGATAAAGCTGTTTACATATGGTTTCTTCAAGAACGGTCTGCCGAAATTTCATTCTCTGGTCCCATCACCCAATGCAAAGTACGCATCCTGCATATACATTGTACCATCAAATGTTGAGATTGTAGACAACATGAATTTAATAGGAACACCTAAATTAGACTACATTTATAAACAATGGAAACTTGTGTACCTTTTCACCACCAGACTTTCTCGCCCAAAATGTTTTTGCACCTTTTTTCTTATATTCCTCAATATTTATGGAAATGAATTCTAATTTTGTAGCCAACAGACAAAATTTGAGTCAATCTTCAGTTTTTACCAAATCTTCTGAAGGAAAGTGCAGACTATAAACGGGACTATTTTGTGAATTTGTAAAGAAAAGAGGGAACTGGTAGTGAAAAGGTTAAGTTAAAAGGCTTTGTTTGTCCTGGAAGGTCAATTACATAGTAGGTATGTTTGTCTGAAGGATAACCTCTCCAGTAATGGAGGACGGGAAAGTGAGAACGACTTTTAATATAACATATTTTATGTTTTAACTGAAACAGCATCATTATTACACATTTTATGTTTCTATCTTGTTATGGGAGAAATGTTTCACATATTTTCAAATTGGGAATGCAACTTTAACACATTACGGGAGATGAAACGATTCCAAAAGAAGAAAAAAAGTTTATCCAAGCACAGTTAGTCAGACGTGATTAGATCAAAAGACTAATAATTCAGTCTTGGCTTTACTAGATGCACTAAGGATAATCACAAAATTCTAGTTATTTCTTTAAGACTACCGGTGTACATACATGATGCCACCATGTTCATGCTTTATGCAAATTATCAGTAGTCACATGTCAGGCTTACCTTATGGTGATTGGCTGTGTTCTGTGAGGACTGAAACAAAACAAAGAACAAATAATGTCAAGTAATGTAATGTCAGTGTTAGCCAGTGTTTAATGTAGCGAGGTCTTCTATGTTGAAAAATCTGCATTGTTAGTATAATTTGTTTTAAAATTATTAGTTGAACTATTGTTTTTGTTTTCAGGATTTTTTACCCTGCTCTTAACACAATGCTTGAGATGCCATTATTTTGGCTAATCATTGAGGCTTTCATCCGCCAATAGATTGAGAGACAGATGTACGAGACAAACTTTCCGACATTGCTGTCTATAAATATTGGTGTCTCACTAAGGGACGACGTCAAAAGATCGATGTCGGATAAAAAACTTATTTCCTTTAGTTTGGGGGTGGGGGGTTTTGACCTAAAAAAGTTCCCATCCTACAAAAACGATTTTATTTTTTAATGAAGTCAAAACAATCTTGGAGTATTTGTAGTTCGTTTTTTTCTATCCAATCATGGACAGAAATAACCGAAAAAGAAAAAAACCCAGAAAAATGGTTTGGTTCGAATGTAAATCTGTGCGTCAAATGAGGTGCATTTGTAAAATCTTTTTACACCCACCCGACAACCAACTACTATGCAATACTACTGTCCGATTATCAATTTGTATTTAATGGTGAATGTAGTCTGACGCCATGACCAATATTTATCAATTAAGTTTCAGTGGGGGGTAGGGGGGTTTGGAAAAAAACTAATTAAGTTTTTTAAACCGACATCGATCTTTTGACGTCGTCCCTAAAGGTTGGACATTGAAATAACATCTTGTGGTGGAGTCTTCCTGTCACATGCAAAGAGTTTATTCATAAAAAAATAAGTACTGTAAATGCATTAAATATTCACTGGGTTTTAATTTCGCTATTTTAGCTGAAGTAAAAGTCGCCAAATTAAATTCATGTGAACATGTGGAATAAACAATAGAACTTGTTGTTTCCCTGCTTGTGAACTTAAAATCCAATGCAATTGTTCAAAACATTAAAATAAATGCTAGTGAGATTTAAATGGTTTTACAATATACAAGATAAACTTTTGGACCTTGCTATCTCACATTGGATGGACTTTGAATTAACATGTGGACAATCTTGTGGTGGAGGACTCCTGATATCATAAGTTGTACTTGACAAATATAAAGTATTCTATCTTTATGGGCAAGGTTATAATGGTTGGGCTATGCTATTTAATAGTACCTCCCCAGACAAAAAAAGATAGGTACCTGATAGTGAGTAAGCTATCATTGGCCGAGTTTTCAGGTGATTTGATTGGTGTTCTAGAAGGTGACGTCTTTGTTGATGATAGCGACTCCCTGCTGTTGCTCACTTGTGTGCTCAAACAACTTGATGGAGAACCCTTGGAACTGAGTGACGTGGAACCCTGTGGACTCAATGATTGAGGAGCTGTAGAACGCTGCCCCCTCACAGATTTCTCTCCATCACGTTCTGCATCTATAGAGTGTTTTAGGAATCTAACGTTCTGCGGAGTAGACGTTACAGGCATTGTACTTGGCAGTGGACTACTATGCATGTGAGTCATTGAGTATGGCAGATATGGAGTTGCCTTGGGGATAGGTGGATGAATAGATGTGGAGGGAGTTGATGTTATTACAGGTAGACCCAGTGAGTGGATGGTGGAATCTAATGATAAAGTCACATCCTGCATTGTTGTGTCTCGCAAAGTACGGAAAACATTGATAACATCTACAAGATAAATAAAATATAAAAATGTTATATTTAAGTACACACTATCATGATGACAGCATCAACATTAGACCCCTGGTAGTCATGCCACGTCCTGTTTAATATGGACCCCATACCAAATGTTTATTTGCACAAAATTTGAACACTCGCTGCATGATCTATGACCACTGTCCCTAAGTGAGGTATACAGGGCATACAATCACACATTCAGAGTCAAAAATCATAGTACCTGTAACAGCTTTTTGATCAGCCTTTGGGATATCCAGTAATGTTCGAACTAACTGATGTGCATTACATGCCCATTGTCTTTTAAGATGTTGAAAGTCGTCCAATGAAATCGATGAACCATCTGAAATAAGCAACGAATTATCAATCCATATACTGAACAGAACAAATATTTTAAAAGTATAGAATTGACTTGAAACAAGTAAAAGTTGTTATCTACTAGTCCATAACGATTGTGCAAATCCAGCAAATCAAAGCCAATACACCAGTAAACATACCCGCCATGTTCCTGCCCTGTGCTAGGATTTGTGGTGTCAGCTTACACAGCATATCAACACATGAAAACACTGCATATTTAGGTGGTGATGCTGGAATCGCTTTCACAGCTCTATTACAATCTTGTCTGGCTTTGGACACTTTAGCGGAAAGTTCATCAGCATAGTTTTGATATTCATTCATCAAACTCTCTCTTGATCTACCTGTAATAAATACAAATTATTTTAATATAAATTTCTTGATTGCCTGTAGAACAAGTTGTCAAATGTTCCAGTTAACATTCTGACTCAACAGTCTAGAACGGCAAAAAAGAACTATGAAAGAATTGAAGATACCATCACGAAATGAGAGACGTCCGCCTATAGTAACTTTTGTGTATAATATCAAAGAAATCGGACTTGTAGTTTTTAACAAGAAGTCAAAAACATTTTACCAATAATGACAAAAAATATTCATCAAAATTAGAAAATTCAAGATATCACCACGAAATAAACAAATCCGAGAAGAGGTCCACCTGTAGTGTCCATATGTATATTATAAAAGCAATCGGCTTTCGGTTTTCAAGAAGAAGTCAAAAATATCACTTTATACCAAAAATGACAAAAATATTCACCATAATTATAGAATTGAAGATATCATCATGAATCTAAGTGGGGTCTACCCAAGGTACATATACAAGTATCGAAGCAATCCGGTCTACAAAGTCAACATACTCCAACCTCGGTGACAACAAAATAATGTTCTTCATAATTTACCAATTTTTTTTTCTATTGCTCAACAGATGTTTTTCAAGTGGGTCTTTAATTTGAAATACTGTAAAACCATTAATTTTCACTATTTTGATGTTTTGAGAATTGAGTTGTAAGTTCAAAAACTTGGCAAGGTATTATTGTTATCTATTAAACATGTCCATGTGGATTTTAAAATTAAAAAACTGTGAATAATTAAATAAAAAAGAATTCCACTAAACCTACCTTTAGCCTGGTTGACAGCGAGGGCAGCACCAACCAGTCTGTCTATGGGCACAGTCATTCCATTACTTAATTCATCAATAACTGATTCCAACAATTTGATCTGAATATAGAATTGATTGCAACTTTAATCATGGATGTCAATGAAAGTACAAGCTTCAGGTATTCCTGTGAAATGCTAATAGCTTACTTATCGGTACTACTATAAAGTGATTTCATTTTGTGACACAAATTTTACAAAATTGGGAAAATCACATAAATTTTGAAGCAATTCACTGGGGCTTGTTATACTTTCTTGAATAAATTTTGTATATCAGATAGCCATAACCATTGCTGCTTCAAAAATATTTCAATAGTTTGCAATGAGCATCCACAGAGTTCTATAGGGTTTGATCGAAACAAATTTAATCGACACACATGAAATTAAAGCAGAAATATTAATTTGTAAGTTCAAGAGTATCACAGCGATTTTCTTGATATTAAAGCGAGGGAGTCATTACCTACGCATGCGTCAGATGGCCATAGCGTGTCATTGTTTACAAACAAGCGTTTACCCATGAGTCTTTGCGTTTTTAGCGTGTGTTGTAATTCCTGCGCATATGCAGATAACAACCCTCCCGCTTTAAGCCGGAAACTTCAAGTGACTGAATCGCATATATTTACTTCTGAGTTAGCATTGGGTGATTTGCATATCAGTAATGTATGCAAGATTACGGTGTTTTCCCCAAACCATGCTTGAACTTTCAAGAAAACAATAGAAAGGGTATTGATATGGTAATTATTCCTATTGAAACAAAAAGAGTATTCAAATTAGATAATGTTATATGCAAATTGGCCACCATGGTTAACAATTGAAGCACACGGTTGATTATCGGTTTAATTTTAAGTTTATTCCATTACTGGATTAAAAAGACAATTGGAAACAATAGACAGATTATTTGTTTAAACAACAAGAACAATAGTATTCCATGATTCCATTGGTATAACTTGAATGATGTTACCACAATCTACCAGTGATTTGACTTGATATATTGGTTCTGATGTATGCCCATCAACTTATTACATAAAGTCATGTAATAAAACAGGTAAAACACAAATACAATGTGGATACTAAGTATCAACAATTTTGAAGTAAACTTACTTTCAATGCCCACTGTCTTTGAATGATTGCAATATCCAGGCTCAATCTGCTTCTATCATTGTGGTTAGAATGTATTACTTCATTCAATATATCCATCAGTTTATTGACAGACTCACAAATACCAGTTACAGAATCAATCTTTGCCTCATCTTCAAGCCTATGGAGAAAGAAGAATTAAAAGAATACATTTTGCAACTCTGTTTTATGTATCAAGAGTCTAGCTACAATTGTACTGCATGTGATCTTTTATTTATATTACATCAAAGTCACTATACATCTAATTTTTTCACAGTAAGGTCAGACTTTTTTTTTATTCCTTGTTTCTCAAGCTTTTATAAGGCAATTTTTTTGAGGAGGGGGGAAAAAAAATTAATTATTTTTTTTCCATTAGATTTGTGTGATTCTCAAAGAATTGTAAGTGAGATCATTGATCGGGGAAAAGAAATGAAATAAAATTTCATTTCACGTATAACCTTGTTTCTCATCTGCACGAGACTTTGGTACTTTGATCATGATACTCCCACGAAAATGCAACTTGGGTTTGTTAAGCGTCGGGCAGAAAAAAATGAAGATAAACAAGTTTTTTTAGCAATTTTTTGCACTTACTTCATTTTTGGCTCCAGTTCATTCGGCGGGTTTGCAAAACAAGGGATAATAAAAGTCTAGCCTAAACTGCAGTCAAATATTGAAAACTAAGCCATTACTTACCCTTCAATAACTTTATTTACCATATCAGAGATTTTAGTTGAATATGCTGCCATGTCTTTTACTTGACTTTCTAAATCATCTGTTCTGTGTTCTACAAAAGAAGTTTCTAAATCCATATTCCTCAGTGGTATTCCCGCTGTGATTCTGTCCAGACCATGCATCAACTCAAAGCATTTCACAGACCACAGCTGTATTTTCTCTCTTAGAACAGAATCCTTTGATTTATCATCTAGGATAAAATAAACAAATTAGCTGTTGTGGTCCCCTGTTTTCGTTTATTTTTAAATCTATTTTGTTTATAAAATTACAAATTCCATAACTATAGTAAGACATTGCTATAAGTAAGCTCTGCACTAATCAATGAATAATTTTTAGTTGCGTCAATGACGTGCCAGTGAATTAGCGAACTAGTTGTGTCACATCAAATCTTTGTGTCAATGAATAGAAGACATCCCCTGCATAGACAGAATTGCTTCCATGGAACTATAAAGGATGATCAACACATCTAAATAATATGAGGTTATTACGAAGATACCTCATGCACGAAGACAGTACATTGGGAATATCGACCGACGCACAGCGGAGGTCGATGCAATGGTGTACTGTCTGAGTGCATACTTTTAGGTATCCTCATAATAACTTTATTGTTATACATCTTTTCCTTCCAATGGTACATCATGGGAATGCCGAAATCCAAAAAGTTTAGAACAAAATCAGTGAACTTCTTTGTGTGGAGTCCAGTCGAACCCTGCTGGCAGCCATGTTTGTTTTTATTATTCGAGGATGCTTATGCGCGTAATCATTCCATATTTGGAAATCGCATTTCCTTATATGGTAGGATGAAAATACCCCATAAAATAGCGCAAAATTACGACACACTGTAACTTATGGCGTTACGGTGACAGATGTATAATAATAGTAATGATGATGATGATGCAGTGAATTGCTATACATGTACATCGTTTGATCAGCCTACATGAGTAGAGTGCTTTGATACTTGAGGGCGCTACATATTGGAGTACTGATCCTGACCAATTGTTAGAGAAAAAAGACTGATTACACGAATGTATACCACAATCTTCAAAGCCTAACCAACCCATGCTAATGCAAATATCTGTTGTTTTCTTCATTCCTATTCCAGTCTGTCTTAGAGAACACAGGTGTTCTAAAACATTACATTCATCATTAGTATTATTACTAGTAATATGTATTGATCGTTCAGATTATAGTTTCAAAAATGTTCATACCTTTATTTAACGCAAACTTATTGGCTGCACTATTCACTTCCTGAGTCAATTTACTCAGCTCATTTGCATGTCTTTGAACCAACTGAGCATGCTCCATCAACTCTGACCTTCTATGCACTTGAACTTTGCCTTGATTTGTAGATACTTCCATTGCCATGCTAACCAGATGATGTAACAATTCAACATGACTGTTAAGAATTTGAATCTGTATCCCAAAAGAGAAAAAAATTGTTAAATTAAAAACAGATATTGTTATTCAGTAACCTGGCATGGTAATACTGACAAGTACAACACAAAAAGAGTGCACATGTCTCAGTCATGATGTATGTGACTGGACATGGTAGTTTATATAATGTATAAGCTCTCTAAAATTCTCTATGTGTAAGCTAAGATTGTAAGATAAATGCATGTTCATATACATGTATGCATCCCACAATGCATTATGTTTGTATGTTTGTTTGTATAGCACTTACCTCACTTTGCATGGACTTTGTATTCCCAGTTTTTGCTGAATCAGCAACTTTTTGTACTGGCAGAGACCATGGCTGCATCATATGCTGGATGATTGCTTCTAATTCACACACATATTTGGCCCATTCCTGTCCTTGTACGTAAAGCTGGGCTTTCCCCCTTTCATCAGTGGAGAAAGTATTCCTTCCCAATTGCAGGAAACCAGGTAATATTTTCATGATTTCTGATAAATTAGATTCCAATGAGCTGAAAAAAAGAAATAAATCAGTTTGAGTTATCAATATGAGTCTTCTGATATTTGTTTTGTCAAAATGTGATTAAATGGGTCTTAATTGTCACTTCACAACAAATAGTTACAGAGTGAAAATGGCCGAGACACCTATAGACCAGGAGATAATTAGGTTATGTGCCACATTCATTAGTTACCATAACTAGTTTAATGGTTCAAAACATCGCCCTCTGACAAAAATTTTGCCTATTCATGTTAATGTCTCCAAAGTTGCCTGGAGCCTACAAAAAGGTAAAAAAGAATGTGACCGCGCTATAAATATATCTGTACTAATTATTCTTAGTGTCACCAAATAAGTTATTGTGATTAGTTGTTTCCAACTACATGAAAATCATAAATACAGTATTTTCTCTATTTATCGCGCAGGTAAAATACCTGGAATTAGCTGGAATTAATTTTCGCTGAAAAGACATTTTGGGAGTTTTGTATAGAATTTATTTTCTCTGATTTTTGACAAGTTGAATGTAAAATATAGGAAAAAAGGTATATTTGCTGGATTTTATTTTCACTGAATCATTCCTTCAGCGAAAAATAGCGAAAATTTATTCCAAGCAAATTTAAAGTATTTTACAGTAGTTTAACTGAAGATTGTACTAAAGTGAATAGAGAACACTAATTTGTGGTAAAATTTCACAGTCATTTTGTGACAATATTATGAAAGCAATTTATAGAACAAGTCATGAATACTTACTTTATTGTATGTTGGTCACTAGGTAATTTACATAGTGTTTGAACAATGTCTTTATATGCATAGGATTGTGACGTTATATTTCGACATATCATCTCAATCTCAATACGATCAGCGTTACTAATAGCCTTGAGTAGATCAGTCACAGGATTCAAATAATACAACGGTACATTCAGTGCTGCAGAAATATACATCCAGTGAGTTTAGTATACGTTCAATTTACAAAATTAATTTATTAATCTTCAAAGACGCAAAGTGATTTACATAGTTCATACACATCATTTATAATTTAAGATAGGGATTGCGACTATGTATGGCAATATGTTACAAGCTACCATTCAGTGTCGGCATAAATCAAACACATTTCAAATGGCATCACAGATTCGACACAATGTTCAATTGAGTAAACAGATATGAGCAAGATTATCCGCGTATTAAAAAATGCAAAACGTACGTGAATCATGATTTGCAAATGAGCAACGAAATCATCAAAGTAACACGAGACAAACTAGTTCTTTCACAGACTCGTTCATTTGTATTAATATTTCTAGAAACATATATTTATCCTTGATATTATGATAATTCTTGATATTACCAACAATCATGTACTCCGGTATTTACATAAATACAGCCTATTATCTACAACACAATAATACTGTAAAATCTGTATTAGAAGTCGCAGATTCTATTGAAATGGTACAATGCGATAGAGGGGATGGGGTTTCTATTAGAGCATCTACACATGAGAAATGGTGAATTTTCGGCTCTCAATTGTCCAAAAAAAAATTGGGTGCGGCTTCAATATTGGGGATCTGGCTTCTAATACAGATTTAACGGTACACTGCCTAGCTGTCTCAAAAGCATTTGTATATGATTTCCAGCAACTCTGTCCTCAGGAAACCATGATACATAGACAAAAATTTGTAAATTTCATAGATGTCAAAGTGAGCCAAAATGATCTTTGTGGAACTAAATGTTTTATCTTATGCTTTGTTCACAAAATCCAGATAAAAATATATGGTCTATGAACTTCTTTTCCCAAATCAACACAGGTAAACACTCAGGAAAATGCTGTTTTTTTAGACATTATAATCATCAGTTTCCATGGTAATAAGGTCTCATCTTATCTCAAAATATAGATGGATATGCATGGTTGTGAAAATCAGAAAATTTGATGAGTAATATTTATTTTCTGTGAAATAATGCTTTAAGTAGGAGAATTTTTTTTGACCGTTGTGGTGTCGGGTAAAAATAATGAATTATGTGATACTTTTGAAACAAAAATATATAATAATTTTTTCACTTTATTTTATTACAGTAGGTTGAAAAAAAGATTTATTGTTCTAACTAAAATTCATTTCTAGCCATCTGCCATATAGGCCATGTGACTTGATATTATCCTGTGTCTATAACATTTGGAACAATATCATTTGGAACAGCAATGTTAATTTTGTCAGGGTTCAAAACAACGTGTCAAAAACTCACACAACTCACTATGACACTTACCTGATATTGTAGAAGAGGGTATAGAGGTTTGTGGAACGGTTAATGTGATGGGTGTGTGCAATGAATCAGGAATTGGTTTACTGAGATACATGTTACTATTTGATGATCTAAATGACTCTTCATTGAAGTCAGGAATTGGTTTACTGAGATACATGTTACTATCTGAAGATCTAAATGACTCATCATTGAAGTCAGGGATTGGTTTACTTAAATATGCATTACTCTCGGTTGATTGTTTTGAATTATGTGACGATGGATAATCCGGAAGATCTGAAACGATAAACATAATGAAGCCAATATCAAAATTTGGATAAACCTAAAATAAAAGTCTACCATGTAACGTATCGGAATCGGTAAAATAAACAGTAGTTTTGACGCAACATGCACTGTTTTTAATGTTAGAACTTGCAATTAAATTCGACAAAAAATGTTGCCTGTTACACAAATACAAAGCAAGACAGAATTTTACATAAAAATGTCTTTATAAAAAAGAAAGATTATTCAAACTTACACTTGAGGGCACTGTCTCACTCACCTGAAATGACTGGTTTTTTTTTACTTCTCACGTTGTTCCTAACAGGACTGAGAATGTCAGGATGATTTCTAATATCTAATCCCATCTTAACTCTTGATACACACTGCAGTAGTAGCTCACATCGTTCTAATAACTTATCATGTAATCTTGCATGGTGAATCAAACTGACGGCCTCGTATGCAGAATTCTGTACTAAGGGTATAGCTGAAATAAACAATACGTTACTAACTACATGTAGGGTGACGTTTATTGAGTGCACATGGATCTCATAAAGACTTATGCCATGATCTTAGCGCCCTCTCCATCTCTGAGAAAATTATGAGGAGTTAATTGGCAGTTATACTTGAGTGGTGCCATTTGTGGAGAGATCAAACTACTGTAACAACATTTAACAAGGCAGCTGGCTACGAGTACACTTTAAAGCACGGTGGTCGTCGCACAGCGTGTGTTCGAATTTCATGAATATAAACAATGTATGTTACACGCGTTGTATACGTCGCTATGAGTCCCACATCGAACAGGATGCAGCACGACGACTGCCGCCTTTAACTAAATCATTTTAACTGCTTAGAAATTAACATACCTTTCTCTAAGTGACTGACGTATGATCCAAGTCCATTCCTATATATGGGGTCTATATGATTATCTACTACTTTCTTTGCAACCTGTACAATACGCTTAGCCCTACCAAGCAGCTGATTGGCCGATGTCGCCAGCATATCACTGTCCGATATCAAAATAGATTCTCGACATTCTCGAATATCCGATTTTATCGAGGATTCTACAACACAGAAATAAAGAAAGAAATACATGTAGTCTGAAACTTGTATTCAGTGCTAATAACAAGAGAAGTAGATGTTCATTGGATTTTTGGGACTATTTTAATTCAGGAATACATTTCTAATGGTGTTATATGTCACCTGATCACTGAGTATTGATATGTCAAAAGTAGAGTTGGTTGCTGTAGATCAAAATGGTGAAATAAACAGTAAGCTTTATGGTTTCTTGGTTGTTTCATGCGTTCCTGACTCATCGCAGCACACTCATATAGCTAAAACATACGGAAATTCACCATATTATTGTAAAAAGTCTGATACCTGATATGTCCAAGAATGTCTTAGGATCTGTCATATCGTCGATAATATCCACCAATATGCAGATCTCATTATGCCATTCTCTTTGCAGCAACTTTACATGCTCAGATGCTCCTTTGTCTAAAGTGTCTCGCCTGGCTGCAATGCATGCTGGGTAAATCTCAGGATCCAAGTTCTCAAGTTGAGAGACTGTTGAACGTAGATGACGAACTCCTATATGTAAATTAGATGACAAATTAGATGCTAATAGGCATTTGTGAAGTAGTATACATTTTTCCTATTTTCATGCACTTTTTAATAGCTTTTTTCTTGATACTTTTGGATCAAATGAACATAATTCCCTGTGGCTACGGGTGCTGATCAAAATATGAAAAAATAAAATGTGAAAGTTGATTTTGGTGCTCATACTGTTACCGGGGTACTAACAATTTACATGACCACTAAGCTACTAATCTAAATGAAAATTGTCTCAGCAATGACTTTAACTGAGATTTGAAATATTATAGGCCATGTGTGAAAGATACTCACTTCGTTTATCGACACAACTAGCAGCAATAAATCCACCAAGTTGTATTATTTTGTCTGAATAATCATGAAACGATTCTTCTAGTGGTTGTAACATATCAATGCAGACCTTCTCTGGCAACGTAGATTTGTCCTGCATAAAAATAAAAATTAAATATTAAACTATTCTGGGTATATCAAAAGTTGGAAAAAAAATTTCCACACAAGCATGACTTCAAAAGCTATGGGGAGCATTTGTTTTGTATGGCTGCCATGGTAATATATTTATGCATCAAACATACAGGTGCATTTTCTCTGAAATTACTGGACAGATATCATTAGCATAAGCAGGCAACTGAAATTAAATGCCAATTACATAAGCATTGCTTAGGAGCAAATACAAAGAAATAACATGACTTTCATTTAAAAATTTTCCACTACTAAGATTTAGGTAGATTTTTTTATGCTGTTTAGAAGGGTACTTTTTTAGTTTCTGTTGCAAATATTGGCAGGTCAGGCACGATTTGTGACCAAATTGATTAGACTAGTCCTGCTGCAATAATTATCACCCTTATGAGATGTACACATATGCTAATGAGATGTAAATGTTATGTTAATGAGATGTAAATTTATTCTAATGAGATGTAAAGTGAACATGCTGGTGTTGCATCTGGTCACCAGCTCACAGAATAGCACCATTCGACCACTTCATTTGAGTTTTAGAGATAAGAAAGCAAGACTACAATATGCATTCTAATATCATGGATACTGCTGATATTATTTCTCACGTACCTTAACATGTGAAATAGATGTTTTGATGAGACGATCCAACGGCTCAGTGGTTACTAATAACACATCAACCACTTGATATCCTAGTGACTGGTTAACAAGTTTTTCTAAATCTTTAAAATCATTTTGTAATTTATCACAATTTGTACTGAAATCTTCTTTGAGTTGATGAAAACTCTGATTTTCAGAAAGTGACTTGTACTGGTTTGGGATGTCGCTGCCCTGTCTTAAAATCTGTGAACAACATGAAAGACATTTTCACATACAAGTACACGGTTAAATAAAAAGAACATCAAGGGTATTTTGTGCTTCCAATGTTGCCTGTTGTTATGTCATAAGTAAAAAAAAATGAAATTCAATTTTTTTTTAAATCACTGCTGGTACAACATATAGAAATCTTTGGTGGGATCACCAGAAATGTAACGTTATGGATTATTGGGATACATTTCTACACTGTACATTAGTATACATTTTTTGTTGTTGGATGAATTGGGTTCGCAAATTAATAGGAGTCAACCAATTAATATAGTTTTTACAGTAGATCAAGATGGTGTCTGTCGGTTACAATGCACAGATTCAAAGGAAGTGACAGTTACAATACTAAATTCACAAATGCTGAAAATACACAATGTCTACGAGAAAGCCTTAATTAAAAAATCGTAAATGAAGTATACAGTGTAGTAAAGATGACAAAAACATGAAATTATTTCTTACCGCTTTACAAGTGTCTATTATTTTATTTCTGATATGTTCTCTAGACACCGATGCTACCGCCATGCTGTGACGAACAACACCTTCCATCATAGCCTCAAATTCCAAACTTAGACTGAACCGATGATCTGGGTCTAGAAATGAAATGATCTGGCAAACAAAAAAAAAAGATACAGACTAAGGGCACCATGACATGCATGCATTTTTCCCTCCACAATTTTGGTGCAAAATTTAACATATTTTTCTGTAATATTTTTGATAATTACAGCCAATTATAGACATAATTCACAATTTGCTACAGGCCTTGATCAAAATTAGGAGGGTTTTATTTTGTTAAATGTCACCATAGTTTTAAAAGTTTTAAAAGCAATGTATTTACGAAAATTCACACACAGATCGTATACAGTGACACTCAGTTTTAAGAACACAGTTGAAATGTACATTGCATAATTTACATGATTTTCTGACTACTGCAGTTTGTAAACATTTGTCTAGGGCAAAATTACACGAATCAGCTGGTGTTATTACTATTTTTAATACACGAACCAAATAGTTTATTTCCAGTTGAAAAAATTCATAACTGAGAAAATTTCAAGAAACTGTCTTTCGTAGAAAACTTTCGTTTTGTTTCTCTCATAAAACATATATTTCAGTTATACTTTTATATGAAATACATTTAAAATAACCCCATTTCTTGATATGTGCATTCAATTTCCCATTTGGGGAGGGGGGGCAATAACATATTCAGTCCTCTGAATATTTCGAACAAAAGGTTTGGCAGCAACAATTCCTGGCTATTTTGGAACGTAACCTTCCTGGTTACTATAGTAGTAAGTATTTGTTGTTACTTATATACAGTACTATATTATTATTATTGAGCCACATAACTTTGATATGGGAAAATAAGCATGTGCAACTGTAAAGTTTGGATATTGGAAACACAATATTTTTTTATCTGACCTAATATGTTATATATATTTTTAATATTAACCCTGGCTGCAAACATTTTCTGGTATGTACGACTGTAATATTATTACATATACCTTATTAATCTTGACAGCAAACATTCCTGGTTCTTCAAAGTCTTCCAGTTCCATGTTATCTGTTGTCTTAATGGCATCAATTAAATCTTCTACTGCTACTATAACTTGACCTACAGCATAATCTTTACTTGTCTGGAAAACAAAACAATGATTATTGTTTGGTTTTTATAAAAATGAATTCAGCGTGTGTAAAGTGCACAAAGTACCACTTGTCTAGGTTTACAATGCCATGTGCTCTGAGATGATTTAGTTATTTATACATCAATTAATACTAGCCAGTATATACCCATGTACTATTGACTGTCCCCTCTACTAG